CGCCGGCCCAAGTTCGCACTGCTGACTTGATTCGGTACGCGGGCTGGCTTCTCGCCGATGGCTCGCCTGTGTTACGGGCACTATGGTTCGATGCAGGTTCCTGGCATCAGCAGGTCCTCCAAGCCCTCCAAGATTGTGCAAGTGTTGTCGCGAATTGCAGCTGGGAGTGCCTCTTTGCCGACCCCTCGCTCGCCGGACAGTGGGCCAGCAGTTTTGCTAGAAAGTGCCGTGGCAGGGCACGGCGAAGGCAGGAGGAACACTTACTTAGGTGGACCAATCTCGCCGCGGCCCGTACCGCGGGAGCGTACTTCTTTCACTTCAAGGGGAGCTGCCATACCGGGCCCGAGCACAAGTGTCCCGACTGTGCTCTGCAATGCAAGACCGCGGCCGCACTTGCAGCTCACATGAGCAAGGCTCACGGCCGGGTTGCCACATCAACTGCTGTGGCAAACGGTACTCGATGTGAGGTATGTAGTACCGAATTTTGGAGCACCAAACGGCTCCGAGATCATTTGCGCAGACAGCCAAAATGTTTGAAGGTCTGGGCGGAGTCCGACCTTGATAGCCGCGAAGTCGCAGAAACTTCGCGCAGGCATGCTTGGCGGCCTGCCTGCAAAACCAGCGGACCGGCACCTTGGTGGGCGACCCTGCGGCCTGATCCAGCCCCTTCGACTGCCGCCGATGCCTCTTTCGATGGACTTCGCTTCATCACTGCCTGGCTCCAGTCCGCTACCAATGGGCTGACAGAGACTCAGGTCCATCAGCTCATCGCTCATGGCATTGCATACCACCTCACTCCGGACGACATGCCTGTAGCGGTCATTCCCACGAGCGCTTCCGCTCATGGAATAGCGCGTTGCGCCCTTGTTGCTGCACAAGCTATCCTAGCGCGGAGCGCGGGAAGTGAAGCTGTGCTTGGATACAAGGTCCATGTACAGGGGGACCGTGCATCCATCTGGCCTAACGAGGTCGGACCCCTCAAGCCATTGCCTACGGAGTGGGACTTTGGCAGCTGACGCTTTTGCGCAGACATGCATGCGTGTGCACTCGGAAGAGTTCAACCATCACATGCAAAAAAACCCTAAACCCCTAAACCCTAAACCCTAAACCCGCACTTGGGAAACGGGAGGTTCGATTTTCAGGCTTCGAGCTTGGGTCTCAGGCGGGCACAGGGCTTACTTTTCGCCTTAGGGCTTCGGGTATATTGTTTTTGCTACGAAACTCCTACAGCCTTTGCAAACCCCAGACTTTTGGCTACTTGAACTTGGCTTTCCTTGAAGTGGGATGTCGAGCTAGCTCCTAAATCCTTCGAATATAGGTGCCTTAATAATTAGAATAGGGTTTTGAGGTCTTTTTTACTATAATCAAAATAATACGGAACCCCCAAAATAGTATTGGTAATGAAATTAGCCCCGATATTACACCCCAACGCCTGATCACCTTCCAGTACTAGTTGAGTCGCATCTGAAGCGCGACAAACTGGCCATAGAGGAATCGAAGACGAGCTTGGCGCGGCCAATTTTCCGTGAGATCCTTCAACAAAACGAATCAGGTTGCAGGGCGTGCTCGCGTAAACCCAGAGAACCCGATACCCCTTAAACAAGGAATATACCTTGAATCACAATATTAAGCCCAAATTATTTAACAATATCAAGCCCCCATTATTTAAGGTATGTTCCTTAATTAAGCGGTATTGGGTTCTCTGGGTACTGCAGTGTACCTATACAGGAAACATGCCAGACTCGTGCTTCGGGGGACGTTCCGCTACAGCGACCACGACGACCAGGAGTCCACCGGGAGGCCGAGACCGGTTTAGGGTTTAGGGACCAAAATGCTTCAAGTACTTGCGCATTGAGGACCACCCCCTGAATGCTTTGGTTATGAGCAATTTAAGTCGGGGGGGGGGGGGGGGGGGTAAAAGTA